ACCAGTTTTATGCTCCCTGCGCGTCTCTATAGCACGCAAAACCGAAAAAGCGTTCCAAGCCTTGAAAGAGTTTCCTGGTTGGAGAAGCCTTTGAATATCTGAGGAACTCAAGCTTCGCTAGGAACGCTAACAGTAATTAAAAAAGCTCTTTTAAAGTTAGAAATGTCAATTTAGCATTACATTGATGGAGCGCTTTTCATAATCCTATCAGTCAAGTAATTCATTTTTCCTCGTCAGTCAGAATTTGAGTGCAATCTGTTGTTTACATGGGATTCTTGTCGAATGTACTTGTATGCACATCCTCTGACGTATTGTCCTTGGATTATCTCACTGAGGCTGACATTTCTTGAGATACTGTAATACTGGCAGAAAGTGCTATTCTGTGCTACTTTGGATGGTTGCATTCATGTGAAAGTGGTCCTATTCAGAACTATAAGCAATTATCCGGCACATCGGATTTGGACGCAAAAAGCAAATACGTGCATTTGTGTCGTGGCCTGAAAACCTATGGTGTAACGTTCTTCTTAGTGAAAGGTTAGTTTTTCTGTTGTACCGATTTTATGTATATTTCCATTTGATACATTTAGTTTTTACTTCGGGAAAAATTTCTTAACAACTTTTTTTTCGTGTCGATTAATTCGACTTTCGACCTGGAACTTTGCAATGCATGTCTGGGGCCGGCGCGATACTTGTGGTTATCTTTCAAATGAGCCCGACCCTGTTTTAACACCAACAAGGCTACCAAATGCTTTCTTTCGCAGTGCGAATGTACTATGAACATCCCCAATGCCTTCCCCTACCCCCTTCCAAGCCCTCCCCCTCCACCAGCCCCTGCTCCCACCCTCTTCAGCGAGCTATGTAATTTATTCTTTCTAAAGAGCGCAATACAAGTCTTTTTTCATAAGCATCTGCCGATTCGGCTCACAGATTCATTAACACGGTGACCATTGCGTCAAGGAGACGACCCCGACATTAGTCCCCCTTCTCGCGAAGATCGGGGCGGCCGTATGCGAGCGCGCCCGGGCTGAAACTCTCCGCCGATGAGTTGGCTACAGGTCCATGAAAATATGTTCCCAGCGAGCTTGCGAGCCCGTTGACTGCATAACGGTCGCGGGAAAGTTATACCGTCCCGGTAAGGGCACCCGGCCTGGGACGCCCTGGACGACCAGCTGTCTCTGATCGTTGTTAACTTGCTGACGACCGCTCACCTGCCACCCAACTCCTCAAGATCGTCGTCGAGCGGGAGTATGTGAGACCGCTAGAACCAAAATAGCATTTTTTGATTTTTAGTCGCTTCCCAATCGATCGTTAACTACCATCTAGTTCCATCTACGAGCCTTTGAACTGGGCTCAGATGCTCGTTGACCTGAGAGTTTCAGCGGGTAACTCATCTTTTTGCCATATGGGGGATGTCGTTTCTCAGCGTTTTGATTACTTAGAGAAAAATCTAGTAAGGCAATAAGTAGTTCCAGCAGTTAAGTATGAATAAGTAGAGCTTTGACACTCAGTTTCCTGAAGTCATATCTACTCCTTCTTTAGACAAGCCATATATGTGGTGAGGGGAGCATGTTTAGATAGAGCGCCTTGACCCCGCTCATTGAACGCGTATATTCTTAGCTATCCAAAGGGCGGCAGACGGGGAATTGTGCTAGGCCATGGGCTGCTGCCGACTGCTGACGGCTTCCCGTTGACATCGGCGATGGCTGCATTGGCCACAAATTTCACCATTTACTCTACGCAAACTAGATTTGGCGGGCCGACTGCGAGGTCTCTGATTAGCCTGCCAATTCAATGAGGTTCGAAATAGTGGGCGTGACGACGTCCGTCCTCACGCCCTTTGGCCCGCATCATGGCCTCCCGCAGCCACCCGTCCGTCCCCGTCCGTCCGTCGTCCACCCACTGATGCCATCGCTCCCGTCACCCACCGACCTCCGCCCTCTCTTCGCCTCTCTGTCTCTGGCGCCGTCGGCGCTTTTGCCAAATCTCGCCCTCGTCGCCGCCCTTTGGAGGCTCTCAGCTTCATTCATCGCGCTGTTCGCTTCTAATGAGCAAATCTCAGTCGCGCCATCGTCACTGCTATTTAGCCTCGTCGAACTGGTGGCGCTCCATCGGCAATTATTAGCTGGATATTCGCTTCGTGAAATTCCCTAAATGTGCTGATTCAATACGAAAAACTGCACTAGACGTTGCTGGCGCGCATCGATATCGTCATAGAGTGTGCGCGGGTCGATGGAGAGATGGATTTTTGCGAAGGGCTCGGAACTTTTCGGCAACATTTGCCGTCTTCATTCTCTGTTGGTGACATTCATGGCTATTAAAAGTTTTTAGAACTCAACAGCGATAATTTGCACGCCTGTTTCCTTCCATGGTAATTCCCTCTTTCAGAAAAACTTGTCGGCAAGAACAAGCTCGTACCACGATTGCTTGGTGTGAACAAAGAATGTGTTATGCGTGTAGACGAGAAGACGAAGGACGTGCTGAAAGAGTGGCCATTGGAGCAGGTCCGCCGATGGAACACGTCGCCGAGAACGTTCACACTGGTGAGTGAACCGTTCGGAAAAGTCTCAGGCTTCTCGAGTTTACTGAGTCATTGTAGAAGCATATTGCATACCTTTAAAAAACTGTCTGAAGTACTTGCTTTCATTGGATTGCTGCGGTTTTTCGCCGCCCTACGAAAGTTATAGCTAGCCTGAAGTATGTACTTTTCTGATTACCCTGCCCCAAAATTATATAACTCATGCGAAAAAAAGTGGCTTCCAAATTTGTTTTCTCAAATTTTTAGTCGTTTCATCATCGACAATCCAAACGTACTCCTTCATATTCCCTTAAAATTCTTTCCGTTTCTTCTAAATTTCTGATTTTGTTGTAGTTTCTCGAATTTTTTTTCTGGTTAAACTTAAATTTATATCTTGAAGAAGGCGTCCAGGCGTGGTCGACCGCTCCTTCGAGAAATTTCCAAGATTTTCATTCTCGGTTTAGGAGAGTCGTGAGTCGATGTATGTGACTCTGAAGGTCACTGTTCGGGATGGGGGGGGGGTGAGGGAATTTTTTGAGGATGTGACTCAATTCTTTTCTTTTGGTAGGAATTTCGGTAGTATTTACTAGTTGTTGGCTAAACTATTACATCCTTTATCTCTGACAATTCAGCCAGTGGACGCCTTTGAGGGTGGAAGTTAGACTTGAATGTTAGCAGAAGTATGAAGACACTTCTTAGGAAGTGCAGGGGAGCGTGAGGGTGGCTGTCGAGCCGGTGGCCAGATTCTCAATACAGTAGTTGGCCCTGCCAGCAGGGTATAAAGTGCCGAGCAAATCTTCAACAAACAGATGAATTTGAAGTTGAGTAGCCAGACGGCGCTAGTTTCGAAAGTTTTCCAGGAAAAGCGAAAGATAGTAGGACGCTGAGGAAAATGCGATGAAGTGATTTGACCGGAAAAGGGAAGGGTTCCTAAGCCATGAAGCTGGAGATCATATACAGAGGTCCGTTACAACGCCGAGATACGGGTCAGTGCAAGATCCGTCGTACGGGTTGCCATGCGGCAGTTTTCTTTCTCAGCAGCAATAATGGTGATGTGCGTGTTCGCAAATGGCTGGCTTCTAAAAACGTCGGATCGGAATGGCCAATGAACGTCATGTCCGGCCTGAAACTTTTTCAGCTCGTAACTGGGCTATCACAGAAGGCATTAATCGGTGGAGGCGTTGAGCGTGGGCGATTCTCACGATATCAGGGAAGTTCTAGTCTCGAAAGTGTCAGTTATGAGAGGAAATCGCGCTGAAGATCCTTTGGCGAAGCAGTCTGCTGTATTATATCATGTTGTAGGGAATTTTTCACAACATTTTGTGACATTTTTCTTTTTGTCTCTCCAGTTTGCCGCTACTATTCGTTTCCATGTGGTTACTGTAAACATCCGACGTGTCTATAGTTAGATCTACAAGCAGCTCCTGGTGGATCACCCTGCGTGCGTCATTTGGTGCACTTCCACCTTGGGCGTCATAACTCCCATTTTCTCAGTACCCAGGCACTGGCGCTTCCTGTTGTGAATCACGGGAAGCCACGTTACTCTCCCTCCCAGAACTCTCATTGTGGAGTTGGTTCTCCCTCCAGAAAATTTTCATGTTATGTCGAATGTGTAAAGCTGATATGAAGATAACTCATGTGTGATCCAAGCGCCATATTCCCTGGTTCTATCCAGATACAGCTTTGGGCGACCTTGGTGAGGTAGCAACCGAGCTGCTAGGAGGGGGAGGAGTGAGGGAAGTGGGCGCAATGAGGCCGTGTCGATTAGGTTCAAAATCATACTACACAGGGGTGGCCAAAGAAAGAGACACATTGCTCATGCCGTCTATCAGCATGCCGTCACCCACACAGACGGTTGGTAGAAGCTTCCAGCAAAATGATTCTGAAATGCCTCTTCATACGCAGAAGCAAGCCCCTCTTCAGCCCTCACCGTCTTCAGAATATGACGTCATCTGCCGTCACCGTCGAGCTCAACGAGGCTTACCGTAATCGCTCCGGCCTGAAGCTGCTACATAATTTCTTCAATCGATTAACTGGTGAATAGCTTCCAGAGACACTAGCTGTGACAGACCGCTTTTGACCAGCGTTCAGGAAACGTCGTAATGGTCTATGGTACCTCGACGACCTCGTTGAGCTCGTACCGTGACCATGTTTCCGTGGGAAAATCTTCTGATGTCGTCGGTGTAGAAGGCTGTTGTGTAGCTTTTTGATAGATTATAATGTGCTCTTCAATATTCAGTTGGGGTCATTCGGTTTGGTTTGAGAAACGGAGATTAATCCGTTTTCAGCGTGGAGTGATGTCTCTTTTTTGGCAACCCCTGGTGAAATAGCGTGTGAAGGGTAGTTATTAGGGATGGGACAAGGGACTGTATCGGGGGACTTCACATAGGACTGATGGTGGTGAGGGGTCGAGATCTTTCCTAAAGGAGGGGATCGTGAAATTTTGAAATCTGCCCAACGCACGGTTGACTCTGCCCACAAGTCATTATGCAAGCCAAACACGGTGCCATATGATACTGGTTGAGCATCACATGCACGGCGCGTCCCAATATGGGATATTCGAAGGTTTAATAAATCGCTCATGAAGTTCTCCCGGCACTTACACTTCATTCTTATCTGCTTGGTTTTTGAATTATTTTAAAGTGAACTACCGCAGCTTTGAATATTGCAAAATGTGTTTCTCTTTTGATCCAAAGGTATGACGCGTAATTTTGCTCAGACGTAAGTGTGTAACTTTTTTCTCGAAAGCTCTGACATACAGAAAATTTTCAGACAAGCAGGAGAAATGAGCGTAATGCTCAGAGTTGAAATTGGCCGCCACATTGTCCTTGGCGTCTGCTCACGAAGCTCTAACCGATCGGCGCGCAAGGATTGTTTGAAGGCTTTCTCATGCGCTTGCCGAAAATGAGGGTTTTCGTTTGATACAGAACGTCGACAGCGATTCGCTCACGGTCTGAAGAATCATAAATGATAAAAAAATGATGCTTATTGAAGGTAGCTCACTCAACAGAAAACGTTGTCAAAACAACTCTGGGATTGTGGAAGCGCTCGATATCCGCATCATAACAGACATGAATAACGGAAGTCGAATATCTTTAAAGCGACCAACGAAAGTGTAACAGCCAGATATTCAGCGGCTGCCAGGTGAAATTACTGACACAAGCACCTCCTCGATAGCATTCGTGTACTTCGAATTCGAAAACCTTTGACCACTAAAAGCGCACATTCTTCGAGCAGCCTGGATTAGCATTACGTGATGACAGTTAACGTGTTTGTATAAACACAAGCCATAATATTAACCTGAAACCCAATTCATTGTCATTGACTCCTGAGATCTCAACAAATATCCAGTACTGAATAAATCTGAGTTTGTTTGAATGAACAAAGAATGGAACGCCTCTAAAGTTATGGGTCAAAATGAATGGACTTCTTAAAGACCTTATATTGTTATTGGTCAGTAGTAATCAGCGAAGGCAGAGAAGCCCATCTCAACAACAGTGAAGTAGCATAGGGCACCTGACAGGAAGCCCGTCGGCGCAAGAAGGCGTCAGCGGACGAGTCACAGCGGTTGCGATTTATAGGACGTACGATGGCACATTCTTTTTAATTTGACACGAAATCACTACAATACCGTAGCGCTGACGTCGTCGCTGGACTCTACTTCCTTCGCCGACGGGTCTCCTATCGGGTCCGTAACGTATGGGTTTCCGGACGAGTTTTCAGACGTGTAGGCGTACCAACATTGGCAACTGTGGTACAATTTTTAATACTAGCTACCAACAATAATATGCAGATGATATTCGCATGAAGTGCTTATATCTTGAGAGCATGATAACGTGAACATGCTATTGTTTAACGGTGGCGGTATAATAATGCAGGGGTTCTCGCTCAATAGTTAGGGGAGGGCGATTATTGCACCAGCACACCCGTGATATATAATAATAGATAGAACGGGGAGCTATTCATAGTCCACCAACTTGTAATGGAATCCGTTTCTTGCGGATTCCGACGCTACCTTCAGTCTGTTTGTTTACGAATTGGCGTTGCTTTTGTGGCCACTTAAACTGAGAAGCTCTACAGCCTAGACAAGCAGTATGCGATTACGACGATATTTCTTCAAGAAGATGACTTTCTGATATAAAAACAAAAGGGCGACACTTTCTAGTCCCTGGTTGACAGACCAACGTACAAGGTAAGGTCCAAAAATCGAAGTCCTACAGAGTGGCAAAAAAGAGATACACTCAGACCCATAGAGCAGACATCATCGAACTTTTCGTCACACAGGGAGCCGATGTTAATGAAAGTTTTATGGCGTTATATTCCTTAGTTGTTCCTCCGTAAACAGAAGCAAGCACTCCTTCACTGCCCCTGCCGTCTCCAGAATATGACGTCATCTGCCGTCACCGTCGAGCTCAACGAGGCTTACCGAAATCGCTCCGACCTGAAGCTGCTACACAATTTCCTCAGTGAAATTAATTGTTGAATAGCTTCCAGAGACATTAGCTGTGAATGTGCAAAACCGCTTTTGACCTGCGTTTCAGAGACGTCGTAATCGTCTATGGTATCTCAACGACCTCGTTGAGATCGTACCGCGCACAATGCTTCCGTGGGAAAATCTTCTGATGTCGTCGGTGTAGAAGGCTGTTGTGTAGCTTGTTGATAGATTATAACGTGCTCTTCAATATTCAGTTGGGGTCATTTGGTTTGGTTTCGCGACGCGTAAATAATTCAACACACACAATCAGTTTTGAAATGATGAGTGAAGCTGTCTTGCATTTTTTTTCGGCACAAACCTGTAATACATGTGGATAGTTTGAGTTAGAATTCTCGAAAATGCAATAGTGAAGTTCGACAAAGTCGACGGTCCTTTGTTACCGATTTAAAATATTCTTTTTTTACGGACTCCTGGAAAGAAAGTAATCCACCAACGGCTAGATGCAGACGTCCCGCCACGATTCGGCTCGTCGCGTCGTAGTCTAACTCACTACAGTTACACATTTACAGAGAGGCAGCTTCTACGATACATAAGTTCTTAATGCTAATTCTCGGCAGCTTCCTACCTACAAATTTTCCGTGACGCTTCAAGTATTTTTACGTCAATAGAAGCGCTCTTTTAAGAAAAACCTGTAATACTTATTATCCAGTAACAGCCAGGGTGCAATCATTGAATGCTGGCCGTATTTTCGGCCGGATGCATTATTTGGTGATAATACTATTAAGAGAGACAAGTTAGTATTTGGGACTGAGGGAAGCTTAAACTGACTTTCAGAGGGGAATTGTTGTGGGAACTTATCGGTTGTGACGGTTTTTTATCAAACCCCGCGGTGTTCTTGTTGAAGTGCTCCAGGAGGAAGGATGGAAATAGACAGAACTAGACATTTTCTGTGGAAAACTCCACACAATTCCGCAGATGGTGTGGTTGGGGCTGTCAATGATCTCCCTTTGAGAGGGGGTAACGTCAGGTTGATCGGTCGGTTGACGCCTGATATTTCACGAAAGCAGGTGACTTCGTAGCTTTATACAGTTAGGCATCCAATAGGCCACACTCAACATCGTCGGCAAACTGTTCTATGACTTATTAATGAATGGTGTAGCAGGCTCTTTAGTTGTTGTTCTAGTTGTCAGCTTCCTCTGTCTTCAAAGGACTTTTCGGGATTACCTCACCCAGGATGGTAACTACTCGTAAGACTTTGGATGGTGAGAAAATCGGCCAGCTCATCGCTGGCTACATCGACATCATCGTAAAGAAGAAGGCTATGAAGGATCACCTCGGAATCGAAGGTGATGAAGGATCGACCATGCTGGAAGATGTGGTTGCACCAGCCAAAGCCACTTATGAGATCTGTCCTTATTTTATTTTATTTGCAAATCATTGATTTTATTGATTTTGCGTCATGAAAATTGCTAGATCTGATATACACTCCGTCTTTTCATCGTGACGTCATCGATGTTGATGGGCGTCGATCCATTTACAGGTGGCTCACGGGCAGATCGGAGCCGGACAGTACGCTCAGGATGGCCATGTGGCGCTACGTGGTGTGCTACGCACCCCGCAGCAGCAACCGCACGGTTACGGCTATGGAATCAATGGTGCGCAATATGGAGCAGTCAGTGGTGAAATCCAGTCACAGAGCATGGCTAGGGTACGTTTTCCGCATTGCGCTACACGTCGATGTTTGTTTCTTCTCTCGTGACATTTCTTTATGGTGAGCTGCTTTGCCCTTGGGATTTGTCATCCCTGATAAGTTGGAGAAAGGGCATGCTACTTCGTTCTTGATAAGCTGGAAAAATGTCGAATTTCAGAGTTTGACCTAAGCCTGCCGGAACTTCTTCTTAGTGATTTTTTGAGTCATGATCGCTAAGCTGTTTAAGGTGTCATATGCAAATGCATTTGGCATTTAGAGCGGCTCAGGCATGATCGGATTGGTGTCTTTGCCTATGTATAGTACAGTATGTTGCGCAACGAATTCTGCGGTCGTATAACTTCGTATAATGTATGCTATACGAAGCGGGTTATTTGTTTTCTATGTGCTAAATATCGTGAACAAGGCATTGAAACATTCTGTTAGGTTGTTTCACGATTAGTGATTCACTTGATATTTTTGAAATTTAGTTTTTCTATAAATTCTAAAATAAAATCCTAGTTTAAATTGCACTACCATCTACATATTAAGTACAGAAAGGGGGGGGTATAGGTGCAGGAGAGAAGGAGATTTTGCCGCATGTGATTTTCCGCAACTTTTTCAGTTCGCAATGATGATTTGCCGTCTTGACGGAGAGTGTTATACGAATATTTTCTACTGTCGCGCCCTCTATTAGTGGGAGTAAGCTCCTTCACTGCCCTCACCATCTCCAAAATGTGACGTCATCTGCCATCATCGTCGAGCTCCAGAGATCTGTCGTGATTGCCTCAGCCTGAAGCTCTTACATAACTTATCAAAACGATTTATCGTTGAAATAGTTTTCCTTGAGAGACACTACTCTGACTATGCAAGCTGCCTCGAAACCCCCCCCCGGTCCTTCTAAAACCCGTCACTGTAGTGTGGGATCTTCGACGACCCTATTGAGCAGGACCACATCACGTTTCCAGGGTAGATTTTTCTGAAGCCGTCATCATGGAAGGCCATCATGAAGTTTATTTGATAGAATGGAATGTGCTGCTCAATACTGAGTTGGGACCATTCTGTTTGATTTCAGCAAAGTGTTATTAAATCGATTTGGATGTGGAGAAAAAATGTCTTGCTTTCCTTAACTTCCGTGTAGGAAGCATTGCGTACCCGTAGGGAGTTGGTCCCTGCTTCTTACGGAATCCCATGAAATCTGCAAAGTGAAAATCTAATGTGGCTCCTTTAGATTCTAAGTCCGCTTGGTCGTAGAGATTTTGACAACCCGAGCGAGAATGTAATAGGCAATAGTTGGTCATACCGTTGGCCGCGAGAGGTTGTGTTATTAGGGTTAGCGAAGCAATAATATAGTAGCGGTTGCATTTTCATTTCTGGCACACAAACGGATTTAAAGAAGAAATAAAAATCTAAAAGTTAACTCAGGCGACCTTTACTTTATCATTATTTCTCCGAATTGCAGTCATTATTTACAACTCCGATTGCATTTCGCAAGAGATCACCGGATATAGAATTTAGATATGTAGAGCTAGTTTTCGGAGTCCTTACTATTCTCAATTTGTGCGAGATTGAAATGGTTTTGATTTGAGCGAAAAAAGGCAGATTCGGTTAAAGCGAGGTTCGATTAGAGCAATGAATTTTTTCGGAACTTCCAATTTGGCATTTTTTCTTTCTTTATTTAGATCTTAGAATAGCAGCTGTCGAAACACAGATTTTCGCCGTCCGAATTTTCCAACTTCCAAGCTCTATACCTGAGTTCAGCTCCAATTTTGAAGAACATGACAACTAAGATTTTGTAGAGCGGGAAAAGTACTTTCAAATAATATGGGCCGCTTTTCGGTTAATACTTGTACTGAATTAATTTGTGCGCTCGAAAAAAAAACGCTACGATATTATGCTCCAACCCAATACTAACGGATACTGAGGGTAACTATCAGCGTGAACTCCTCCATTCTTTCTACGAATTCTCTTCCGCAAGTGGCATCAGGCGGCTATCTAACCCAAGCAGACTGTCTTGTTCTGCTTTCAGTTTGAAGGTGTTGCCATCTAGCTGTTGACTTTTATTTTCATAAGTGACTCTGCAAGTATTATGTGTCGGTCCCGAAGGCGAAGGCCCTCTCGTGTTCAGCTAACAAAGGAAGGATCGAATCTGGAAGAGAGAGGTTGTCAGAATTGGTCATCATTCAAGCTAGCTTCTACCGCTTGTACGGATTTGTTAGAACATTGCAGCCAATCCACACCTCCAGTAAATGTGCTCGATGGTCAATTGAAGGAATCATAGGAGACTGATAGGTGGAACATGAAGATGCCTGATCCTGTTTGGAGCTGATTCACCTTCAGGGCATGCTAGATATAAATTCCACGATCGTTATGCCATGCCGTTTCACTGGTCATATTAGCACTTGGAAGCACTTTGATAACAGGGTCAACCCTACGTTGTTACTAGTAACAACAGGGGGGGTCGTACCTGGTTGAGTTTGTAGGGGGGGGGTCGTATCCACTTTAGTCGCTCGAAATCTACTATAGAGAGGAATAGATGTCGACGGTGTGGAAAAGGGGGGTGTGATCAAGTTCGACCTTGAGGGGGGTCGTAAAAAATTTTGAAAAAGTAACAACGATAGGACTGACCCTGTTTGACAAGTAACGGTTACTGGGTTCAGATTCTTTTCCAACGGCGTCAGGCGGAATCGCAGAACGGTGGGATGGCTGGAATGTGGGTCATCTCCTATTAAAAAGCCAACTTGGAACAAACGTAGCAGCTGCTGATTGGGTTTGAAATCTAACACTCTTTCTCCTCGTGCTGATAGAACCTTTGCTCAAGCTGAACTTTCAAAGACCCTAATCGGTACTCATAAGAATTGTGGCTGAAATTGGTTCTAAAAGATGGCAAATGAGCAAGCTATTCTTTCAGGTGGACCAATGTAAGTGCTTTTTGGCAAGAACTGTTTCACGCCTTCCATTTCCTAGGAATTTGAACAGCAATAAGGGTAAACTGATTCACTAGTTGTGGGACAACCTAAAAGTTTAGAAGTTTACGAGAAGACTATCAGTAGCAGGAGTGACTTACATGTACTGCACATTGTAGGTCGATTTGAACACGGGACAAGCTTGTCATTTTGACAAATTTGCATTTTAGAAATATAGTGGCGAGCCCTTCTCCAGGGCTATAAAACTCAAGCGAAACGGGCGAAATGACCATACCCATTTTCTGGGGGAAGGGGGATCAACAGCAGCCATCAAACTGGTCTGACCGTACGAGAGCATTGAGCTGGAAGGAAGGCTACCATATGGTTTTTTGGGTAGGAAAAATCTTGGATTGAAGAATAGTTCGGTGTCATTTTTTCACGCATGACGCGTTCCAGAGATGACGCGCTCAAAAATCAACGCAGATAGCGCCAACCGTAGAAGTAATGTCTGCTTGTTAACCTCCTATTTTTGTATTTTTGCTGCCCATTGACGTCTTCCTGGCCCCATTGCTTGTCCACGATCACCTTATCTCTTACCGTAATTTTTGCCCACCTGTAGATTCGATTGCTAGCTACCTTCATGTGAAGAAAAAGGGAAGGTCCTCTTTCACACGGAGTTCCATTCTAATTGTGAGCAAATGCTGTTACTGTCCTTCACCTCAATTCAGCAGAACTGAGGACCATGCGGATCTCCTTTGTCGTGTTTCTTCGGCGAGAAGTTAATTTACAGCTCCATATTCAGGTTAATTCAATAATCTAACCACGCCTTCTTCGAGCCACATGGTCAAAACGGTCCGCGTTAATTTTTCCCATGCTTTTCATATTTTTGTGGCTGCTTCTGACTTGATGGCTTTCATGAGCACACGTTTTCCGGCTAGTATCCGTCATGATCCTTATTGAGTACCTTTTTTAATCCCGTCTTCTCACCTCTCTGGCACTTTGATTTCTTGGCTTTTTCTCCTTTTTTTCGTTTTCAGTAGCTTTTTCATAAAGGGAAATAGGAATTCAGTTGAGCATGATTTTTCCTGATTAGGACTAATGATTCATTACAGATTAGGATTCATCATATGAGGGCGTGTGTAGTGTCAGATTCCAGTCTCAACTTGACCCT